ATATAAATTTAAATAATTTATTATAAAAAATTTATAATATTTTTAACTTTATATTATATATATAATATATAAAAATGATCTCTTCTATTAATATTAAATTATATCATTTTTATTCTATATTTTTTAAATGATTTATTGAATATTTAATAAAAATTATATTTTATAAAAAATTAATTTAATTTATATTTTCTAAAAAAAAATTACATAATCAATAATATATAATTGTACATATTAGAAATAATATTTAAACACAATTTCCAAAAAAATCAACTCAAAAAGTTATTTCAAAAATTTAACATAAATTCATTATTATTAATTTGAAATTATAATTAAAATTTACGAAATGAAATAATAATTTTCATTAAATTAAATCTCTTAGAATTATACTATATTTAATCGATTGTATTCCATGATATAATTTTCGTATAAATATTTTTGTATAAATATTCAAATATAGATCAAATAAGAATTTTTTTATTTATATAAGCAAAAGTTTGAATGAAAAATTGAACAATAATTTTTGTATTTTATTATTTTCTCTTTATTTAATTTAATCTTCTGCAAGTTATTATTCATTTCATAACATTTTATAAAAATATTTAAATATAAGCAAATGTTTAAATATAAGTAACATTTATTAATAACATTTCTGATAATGTCAAATTTAAAATTATTTGATAATGTCAAATTTAAAAATTATAATGTAAAAAATATGTGATAATGTCAAATTTAAAAATTATAATCTAAAAAATATAGAAAATTATAGTAAATCCAAATATTAAATTCTAAAATATAAGGGATGCAATAAGTTATGTACTCGTATTATTTCGATGTAAGTGCGAAAACATGAATATTGTTGCATTAATAATTAACTTATTTTGATATTATAATATATAGTGAGATTATTCAAAATAAAAACTAATCACCATGCCACCAATTTGATTGATTAAAAATTTAAACAAATAAATAAATTAAAGTTAACTAACATTTTAGTCAGAAAAAACTAAAAGATTATGAAATTAATCTTTATATGATTTATAACAATAATAAATATATGTACATGCTTCATGAAGAAATTTAAACTTAATGATTAAACAATCTGATAAACTAATGATTAAAAATTCCTCATTCCTCTATATTTCTTTATATTTTATGGCTTGCATCTACTATCGTTTTAAAACAATGTTATCAACTTCTCAATTAAGAAAAAACTAAATACATATTTAATCACTACATATATACAGAAAAAAAAGAAGATAAATATAAAATAAAATTATTATATTACAATATATGTTTAATATTATGTGTTTAAAATGAAAATGTAATAAAAAGTATTAATAAAAATTAAATTTTATTTTAGAATATCTAAACTTTTAAATTATTGTTTATAGATTTCTTAAATTTTGATATGTAAAATCAAATAATAACTTAATTGGAATAAATTCATTAAAAAATTATGTGTATATAAATTTTCTTGTTTTAATATTTCTTATGTCATGTAACATTATATGAAACTTTTATTTAATTTAATTTAATAAAAACATTCTTATATTATTTAAATTATCTTTTGATTAAACAATTACATGATGCTTTAAATCGCAAAATCGAAAATTTTGCTTTAAAAATACTTTAAATACTGGATGTAACTTTTGAATATTTAAATTTAATATCGACAAATAAAATTAATATTTTTAACAATTCATTAAAATCTTGAAAAAAAAAGAAGAAGAAAAGATCTAAGAAAAAATCCATAATACTTCGAATTCAGTTAATATAAAAAATCGAAAAGCTAAACATTACAATAATTAAATATGTTGAATAATTAAATTTATAGCAGATTATTATTTATATGAATAGATAAAAACCTTTTCTAAGCAATTATACAAGATTATAAAAAAGATAAAAAAATATCGGTAAGAAGAAAGTACCTACACTGCCTAAAATGGAGAGACGCAAAAGATGTGTTGATGCTGTTAGCATGCCACACAGCTTCTACAACTTACGTTGTTATGTGGTCACAAGAAGAGCCAGTTACAAAGCAAAACCGGACGTCGTTCTTGATTACAACATTCACAAAGTAGGGATGAACAGATCAGATCAGGTGACTGCTTATTATCCTGAAATAGTGGAAAATATTTTTCTTTCACCTATTTATAATTAGCACTATAATCGTTGCATTATTTCGAGAAACTAGGGATATAGATGAAAAAAAGAATGAACTCATATAATTAAATTGGGAAGTAGCTTCGAATAAAGATAATTAATTGTTTCGTTTGAATACATACACATCGTACATAAACTTTTAAAAAATAAAATGATTTTTATTTTTATATGTGTATATATACACACATATACGACACACGCACACGCACACATACACACGCCGCACGTAAATTCGATATTAATCCGAACTGCAAAATGATCCATATCAAATTGATTAAAATTTATCTATTTTTCTTTACTCAATTAATATTATTATCAATCAGTAAATCAATAGAATCATTTGTTGAAGAGATTATTGAAATACCTATTTATCAAAAGATTCTAAGATTGTATATAGCGAAAGACTTAAGGATATACACAAATTGAAGAATAGATACATTTCGAAGATGACTATCAATTTCGAAAGAATTCAAACCCAACTTTTATTTACAATGTGCATAAACATCAACAAAAAGCTGGAAAATGGAAAACCATCCTAAGAAATTGACTATTAATGTATGTTTTTGCAAATCTTTATATTATTTGATTATATATCTGATTGTTTAGAAGAATCAAATACAGTAGCTATATTATGAATAAATTGAAATATATTTTCTTTCGATGTATATAATTTTAAGAAAGATATTTTTATCTCATATATCTAAATAAATAAAACATTTCTACTTATTTATAATATTATAATGTTATAATATGTTATAATATATAATGTTAAAATATCTATTAAGGACGTGAAATCATCAGAAAAATAATATTACGAAAATTACTTGATACATTATTATACATTGATATTATTATATATTGATGCAATATTAATAATATATATATATATATATATATATATATATGTTAATATTTTTTGGAGGATCAATTTTAGGAGTCAAAATAAATATAAAATTTGATATATAAAAATATTGGTCGAAGTTTATTTATTAGTTTAAGCTATTATAAATAATTTAAGTTTACATTAAATGAAACAAGACGGGAACAATATGCAACAGTAATGCAATGAAGAGAAATCTCGTTTTTTCCCTTCGTTTTTTCACTTCGATTAATACAAATATCAATCTCTTTATATCAAATAACATCAGTTTTATAACATCACTTTTTTGATAGTTTCAATATCTTAAATATTCGTTGTAAATTAAAGGAAACATTTTTTATATTATTTTAACTTATTTTTATATACTATATTATATCTTTCATAAATCAGTCTTAAAACATTTATTTGATCTACATATCATTTATATGATCTACATATTTTCTTGTAATTGTAATATTTTATTAGATATAATAATATATTAACTTTATAAATATGAGATAAATATAAATTACTAATATATGGCTGATATAATAAAAATCACAATGTTTGAAAAAGAATTAATAATGTAATAATAAAAATAAAAAAAAGTTTTTCATATGAATATAAAACACAATATATACAAGTTGGTTTATATCGAATTTTATGAAAAATTACACTATAATATATAATATAATATAATATAATATAATATAATATAATATAATATTATTACACTATAATATATAATATAATAATTTTCTTAATAATTTAAATATTATACCAGTTCAAATGATGTAAAATCTGACGTATAATAAAACAAGGCAGTAAACATAAACCTAAAATATTTATTTATTATAGCTATAACTATTAATTGCCAATCTAATATTATTTTTCAATCAAATACTATTATTTTATGTTACAATAGTTTTTAAAATTGAACCAAATTTTTTATTTGAATTTTTGATTTTTGATTTTTGATTTTTGATACTTCCAATCGATGAAATTTAGAATTCAGAATGTAGAAGATACAGAAGAGTAGTTTCTAAATCTAAAATTTTTGTTTCGGATATTTTTTAGCAATATTATTAAAAAAAAATTGGGTATAATTAAATTTTGCCTGCAATTGAATTCAGAATTAATATAATAAAACTAATACAATTATTTTCACTCTATAAATTGTCAATTTATTATTTGGTTACCGATTGAAATTTAAAGAAAGAGAAACTGAGCCCAAGATATAAAATTTTCAATTATTTATTAATTTCTTAATTGGATATTAAATAAATGAGATATTGGTAAAAAAATTTTGCTATATTATATATTGTATTGAAAACTGCATATTCAGATATTAAACATTAAATGCTTATCCAGATGTTACTAATACAACATATAAAAGTCATTATGCAAGAGCTGATCTAGCTAACGACTTTAATATCTATGGCTTTAATCTCTTTAATATCCTATCTGAAATTCACAAAAAATCTTATCACTCGTTCTCAAGAAATTAAATAGATTTGACTTACAAATATAACAAATACGATATCAAATACGAGAAGAAATAGAAAAAAATGAATTTAATAAAGAAATATAATAATTGTTGTTATTTTAGAATAAAAAAGATCATATAATAAATTAACATTGAAAGCTTCATTATAAACTTTATTATTTTCTTTCTATTCTGATCAATTACAATTTTTTCATAAGTATACTAAAACATGCATTAGTAAATATGATCTTGCAAAAATATAAAATCACTTTTGTCCTACTCATGCATCGATCACATGCATTTGTTTATATCTATTAATTCATTTTGTTGAACAAACATAATTATATAAAAAATACAATAACATAATCATATGAAAAAATAAAAGAGAGATATCTATTTTATCTTATAATTCTCAATGAAACAAATAAAAAACGCTTAATCAAAATGCTTAAAAATATTTTAATTCTAAAATCAATTCTATAAAATATTTTTGAATCATTTTTTAATGAAAAATTTTATAAAACATTTATAGAAATATATGATAATATTATAAGTTTCTTCGCATATTTATAATTATATATGCAATATATATTTATAATTATATAGACAAATAAAAGAATTATCTTTGCAGAAGTATTTAAAATCTTTATCTTATTCATTGATAATAGTTGTATGATAATAAATATATACAATACAAAGCATGAAACGTAAAAAGAATATTTGAAAATATATAATTGTATGCATAAAATGCATAAATATAATCTGTCGATATTAATCTTGTTTTAACATATATAAACATAAAGGACATATTGAATACTTTTATAAATACAAAACAAATTTCAGTATTTCACATTTCAAAATTTATTTTAAAAATTATTTTAAAAATTATATTATTAAATATATAGTTAAACATTTTAATTTTAATATCTGAGAAATTTTACATTTTTTTTTTAACACTCTATAAACGTAATCTTTAAATAATCTTTAAATAAAACAAAACATATTTTAATTTTTAATATTTTTTTTCATATATATTTTTTATACACTTAAAACTTAAATAAACATAATTAAAAATTACATTTGTGAATTATATATTTGAATTATAATATTATAATATTTATTTCTATTTACTTAACTTAGATTAATTTATTTGCACTGAATTTGTGATAAAATCGCTTTTTTATTTCATTTATTGTGAATAAATGTTTCAAAATTTATCGTGAAAATACATAGTTATAATTATTTTACAATTAATAGAAATTATTCTAAATAATAAAAGGATTATAATTTAAATTAAAATTCTCAAATAAATATAATATTTCTTTTTATAAACTATTTTTAAATGAAAAAAAAATTCAATCATTAAAAATATTTACTTCTTGAAAGGGAAAACTTCGTAACTTTTATATAAATACTTTTAAATAATTAGATTATCTTCTACATAATTTTTATAATAAATTAATTATCTTTTATTGAAATATTAAATATTCTCTTTACAAAAAATAAATAATCAATTATTCTATATATAATTTTTATTAGATTGAAATAATTAATTTGTTTTATTTAAAATATTATTACATTATACATATCATATAAAATATACAATATAAATAAGCAAATAATGATTTTAAATAATTAAAAAAAATTTATTTTAATAAAATATATTATAAATAAAATGTTTTTTAGAATGTAATTTTAATTTTAATTTAATTTAAATTTAATTTAATTTTTTTAATTTTTCTATTATATTACATAATTTAGAATTTATTCATGATGTCATATTTTCTTTAAAAATACAAAATATAATTGAATAATGTTAATTTGCAATTATATATAGATTTTTTTTATGTTCAATTATGATAAGAAGACTAAAAAAAAACAAAAAAATATATGATATCCATAAAAATTCATAAAAAATTTCGAATAAAAAAACAAAATATAAAGACATATTATGTTCTGATTCGTATCTTTACAATTAATAAATAATGTAAATAAAGACACAATTGAAAAATTTACAAATTTTAATATGTATTTCAAAAATATTTAATTTTTCCAATGTGATAATTATTTATAAAAATTATTATTTTATTATTAATTTATGTTTATAAGATATATTTATAAAAATATGTCTTATTATGATTTTAATTATACATATTACATATTATATTAACATTTCATTATATCTTTCTGTAAATAATACAATGTAAAAAAAATTGAAATGTGATAAAATATTTTAAAAAATTAATGTTCCTAATCATCATTATTCAAAGGTATTGTTCAAAGATCAAATATATATTTCCTTAAAATTTTTTAATAAAAAATTTATAACATCTTGTGTCTGAAATAATAAAATGTTGCATTAGATATATAATAATTAATATAATTAATCCCTAAAAAAAAATTATATATGATTATCATTTCTTATTTTGATTTGTAAAATATAAATATTCTTAATACATTAGTAATGTTAATATAATTATAATAATAAAAAAAAAATAGCAAAATAAAATTTAAGGAATATATCAGTATACATGATGCATTGATATATAACCTTTAAATTAAACATTAGTTTAATCATACAAGAAAAATAAGATAAATATAAAGCAATAAGAAATTATTTGCATGAATTTCATAATAACAATTAATCATATTTTTTTTTTATATATCAAATTCGATATTATATTTTTATAAAGATATATCAAAATATTCTTAAAAAGATTAATCATGAAATTCACTTGAATCTAAAATATTATTAAATTTGAAACTTTGAAACCCAAAATGTTTATTTCTTTTCTAAACAATATTCCAAGAATATAATATATATTCTATGTTAAAAACAAAAGTTTCAAATAAATTTTAAATGGAATTTTTCAAAATGATTATTGCTATTATCATCATTAATATTAGTTATTTTTTTGATTTATAAAAAATTAAACTTTTATATTTTATATATTCTTATATATATTTTTAAATTTTTATATATATATCTACATAAACTATTGCAATAAATTGATTGTATCTAATGTATTAAATGTTTATAATTGTATCAAAATGAATCTAAATTCATCAATTAAATTTATTATTGATTATATAAAAAT